TCCTTTTTGGTGCTTGAAAATCGTTGCACGTCTCAGCATCCACGTGCAATAAGTTAAAAAGCAGGATGGGTAAACATTAAAGAGCTGTTTGGGTCCAGAAACAATAGCTAAGGAACAAAAATCAGTGCTTTCTGTAACTTATTCTGCCTACGGTGTTATTTTAGGATACAAATAGGAACAGCTTGAACCTGCAGCTCCGTGAACAGGTCTTTGCAGACCGACTGCACTTGTTGTTGTCTCGAGTCAGTGAAATGACGTCCAAAGCGTTTTAACAATCAGTTGAGAAATCCTGATGAACGGAAAAAGCTCATTTGGAAGTGATTTAAGTGCCAAGCTGTCCAAAAAGGCCATCATTAGTGCCAAATTTTCCATGAGAGGAAAGCTTCCCATGGTTAGGCCCTTATGTAACTCAAATTATATCAAAATATACTCCCTGAAAGAAATCATAATTTTGTGCTTTATCTAAATGTTCTCTGAGAACACGCTGCCTCTTTTTGATTTCGAAACTTTTAATCAAATTACGTGCTGGAAGCACATCCCCTGAAGTATAATAGAAAGCAAATGCTCGATGTCGCTCAGAGTGTAACCCACCTGCCGCGCGTTACTGTAACCTCCTCTCAGGAATGAGTCCAAAAGCTCCACGTCTGATCCAGTTGTCATTAAAATTCGTATCCTTAGTTTGTAGGACTGGAATCTTTCTGCTGTGATTGTGTTTTCATTTGATTTCTGAAATATATCGACGTGATAATACAGTATCCGTGCAGCAGATAATTTCTTCAAAACATCTTAGTGCGTTGCCCATATGGTGACCAGAAGACTGTGTTCAAACAGCGTAAGGCCGGGCAATGGAGCCAACTCCTGTGGATGAGACGCTCACAGCTTTTCAAGTGTTTATCACGCTGGCAAAGGCTTTTGAAAGCTGTCGAGTCATAAAAATAGCATGCATCTGAATACCACCGCTCACTATATCTCAAGTAATCTTTCATGATAACACAGCCTTTTTTTGTTTCAACTGTTTGCGGCAGAAGAACCTTTGACAGGACGTTTACAGGAAATTACTCGTCAAGTGCACTCGTGAAAGTGTGTTTATAGAAAAAGATGACAAATTCTCCTTTGGCTCAAGGACTGTTGAATCTACACATCTACACACTGCAGAATGTCGTCCTCTGCAAGTATAGATGAGCACAAGAGAATGGACTTAATGGCATCTCATTTGCAAGCACAAATTAATAAAGCAACGTCACCCCAACCCCCACCCCTGTCTGCACTCAAACCCCACAAGGTTTGGAGCTGTGAACCCTGCTCAAACTAAAAAACAGAT